TGCAGCTCCCACTCCCACTGTACCCAGCACACACAGAGACCAAGCAGGAGCCCCCTGAGCCTGCCCCAGCCAGGCAGTGTCCCTTTGTGGGCAGAGTGGCTGCGCCCCATCCCTGTGGAGCTGTGTAGGCTGGCCGGGCCCCACCTCTAGTGCTGCTGAGCCCCCTGCTGTGGCCCAAGTAGCAGAGCCCTGGGGCAGCCACCACTCCCCGCCTGACACCAGCTCTCTATTTACTGTAAAAAAATAAAAATAAAAAAAAGCAACATTAATGATTATTAATAGTATTAAATATGCAGTGCATCCTGCCACGTACCCCCTCTGCCCCAGTTTTGGTTTTGTGGTGTGACGGCACTCCAGCACCTTACAAGGTAGACATTGTGGTTTTCTCGGCACTCCGGCCAAAAAACGTTGCCTACCCCTGCTCTATAGGGACAGAGAGCAAGTTTCTATTACTGAGTCTATGTGCCAAAGAAGCCAAGTGCAAATCTTTTAGAACTACTTGGCTTTTATGGTTTCCCACTCCTGGTCTTGTAACCTTTTGCTCCATGGTATTATGCTCTTCAAGATAGTTTTGCAGAAGCGAGACCCTTCCTCAAATTCCAGCTGCCAAGACAAAGTTCAAGCAACAAAGCTTATGCTAAGCCATTTTGTTGTTAGGGATTTATTTCAACTGTAAAGAAAAGTTTTTGATGTTTATTATTTAAATTAGCTCATCTGGAACACGTACCGAGATATGCTGCAAGGTACACCACCTTCCTGGATGCTGTTTGCAAGTATCCTTACAGAATCAGATCCATTTCAGCTGCGTCACAAAGGGAAATGGGAATCTGCACCATCAGTTTCCCCAGCTCTCACACCTCAGGATAATCAAACATTACCCGACCTAAGGGAGCAATGACTGCTCCATTCTTTTATCTTATTGTCACAAATAGACATTTTTAGATCTCTACAACAGATCCTTTTCTAGCTAAAGCAGTCCCCATCTCTTTTCATATAGCATGTAATCTCAAGAACATTTAGGAGGACAGCTGAGTGTCTAATTAGCAAGAAGCCTGGGTTTTTTTCTGTTTAAAAATCACGAATTCTCTTATTAAAACACCCAAAATCCATGTTTATCCATTATTAAAATGAAACGCCACTACAGATATAGATATATCTCGGTATAGATAGATCAGTTGAATACAATGTTGTATTTTATTCAACTGATATCCCTCCCTATGGTGGCCTCAATACTCCCCACTACTTACCTGCATGGAGCTGTTCTCCAAACTGCCTGGCTGCCATGTGCATGTGTGCGTGCGCACATGGTGCCCCCTGACTGATCATCCTCCTCCCACTCACCCCAGTCCCTTGCAGGCTGGAATTCTGCTAGCCTGCAAGGGGAAACCCACTGCTTCCTCTGTTTTTCTTCTTAGAAAGAGAAAAAGGACACATTTTACTGCTTTTTTTCCCCACAGCAAATGGAAAACCCAGATCCCTGCTAATTAGGATGAAAACAAAACACTAATGCTGAAATGGCTGACAGGTAAAAGCCACAAAATGTTGGCTCATGTAATATGTGCATATATCTGTGCTAGATGCCAGCAGACAGCAATGCTTTGTATCATCAGTAGAGGAAGTCAGACAGAACCCAGTTAGTATTTTTCTTCTTGTACCAAACATTACTGCAACTAGTGAGGATCACTGACATTTGTTCAAGTTAGGACAGCAAAACAGGGGAAAGGATGACAAGAAATAACTCTATCATAACCTCTGGGCGTCAGAATAGTACTTGAAGAATAGATAGGGGTTAAAACAAATACCCAACTTTTCCCAATAATTAATGAAAAGAGATTATTAAAAGACCACAGTTACATAGTCCTGACTTATTCTGTATAGCAAATTAAGATAACCCTATTAACAGCACGTGCTGTTCCTTCACTGACACAGACATCCACATTCATTATATTTGTGACCCCACTGTAAAAGCCTGAGGCATCAATTAATTGATGTAGAAAGAAGTCTAATTTTAATACAAGTACTATAAGTAACAGTCTTGTGTGGACCCCAGGAGAGTGGGCTAGATGACCTAGAAATTTTCCTTTCTAATTTCTAGAATTATTTGAGAATGACCAGTTTGGGTAGGCAATCTGTTGCCCAGGTAGGGGTATGTAAAAAGGTTAGGAAAGAAACAACACCATAAAGTACTCCAATTTTTTTATTTTTTTTATTTTTTAAAGAAAAGTGTCAGACTTGTGCATTTGCATCTCTGCATTGCTATGGTAGCCTCTGACTGTAATGTTCTATTTAATTTCTAACATCTTTCTAATTGCAGCCTTCATACAAGGAAATGTCCCCCCAGTTATGATTGGTCCCCCCAAACCAATACAACTATATATGGGAAAATGTTTCTCCAAATACATTGTTTAGAAGCAACAAAATTTGTTATAATACACAGAACTGTGTCAAATGTGAAAGTCTGCAGAATTCCTAAAATAGCTGTCAGAATTTAAGAAGCATCAAAATGGGTTCCAAATCAAGTCTGAAGCAAAGAAAACAGCATTAAGGCTGTATACTATAAGTACCAAAGATATATATCGTCTATTAGGGGACAATTAAGACCATATGCAGTTATCTGCATATATTTTCACATTTTACTGTAAAATGTCGCATGCAAAGTTTGACAGGGATTATCTACTTAGCCTACAGGCTGACATCTAGAACCAAGATAGCAGTTACTAGACTACTATTACAGTGGCAAGGCAAAGCAGGGGCCCAAAATATATAGGCAAATGAGCTCAAATGAGTCAGATAGACATGATTCCCCCAAATTAATACATATTTAGTGCTAAAGGACCCATATGCTGACTCTTTTTAGGCAACAAGTTTTGAAAGTAAGGAAGAGAAAATTCATACGAAAGGAATGTGCCTTGCCGGCAGTTCTTTCCCCGAAGCCTTCCTGTCTATCTGAACGTTGCGTGTTGCCAGTCAGGGGTTCACACAGCATCCGTGCATGTCACAAAATCCACACACCTGATTTCTTTTCTTCCTGGCACTATTTTTGTGTTGTAATACAGAGACCATATTCGTTTTAAAAAACAGACTTGACATAAGCCATTCCCCCAGCCTCCAATTACACATATTATTCCCTATTTATACTATTTTATTTCAATATACTCGATTAACAAAAATCTATTCCCAAGTCTTTGACAGCATTTGTTACAGAGCTATGAACTGTTTCTCACCTCACTTACACTGTGAGGAAGGCCTTCCTTCAGAGGTGAAGGAATGCCTAGTAAACACAGTTCCAGTTTAATTTAATATTCTATGATCTCATTGCATTTCAAAAGGCAGAATATGCTGTGGGTACTCAAACTGAGCATGAGTGAGATATAATCTTTACGGATCTTAAACACATTTATTCAGGATCCCATGTCTCAGTAACAGAAAGGAAGCAAAGAAACAACAAAAACTTCAAATATATTTACAGTTATTTTTACGAAGTGAATATTTGGATGCGAACTTACTGTAAGATTCCAGTTGATCTGTGGTATTCTTGTATGAAGATTTAGACTGAACATAAGCAATAAAACTCCAGTAACTACAAATGCACTACAGCTCACAAACTCAAAGAAATAAAGGCCTTCGCACGGGGAACATTCCATGATGGTTTCTATGCAGATGAATGCAATCAGTGCCAAAACCTAAGAAGAAAAACAAGTGGAAAAAATATAAATAGATTTCCACATTTTGAAAATAGCCACAAGTATTCCTGAAATTTCCATTGGGAACATGATCAGTTTACTCTCAGGAATGCACGATTTAAAGTTTAGAGCAAAGGTTAGAGCAGAACAGTATTTGAAAGCAAAAACAAAGAAAAATTAATGCAAGACTTTTTGGGTACTTATGTATGATAATATTTAACAAAATGGCTATGATCTAACACCTATAGCTTCATTGATCCAGGGCAACTTAAAAAAAGGACACCCCACTTCCCCAACTCAAATATCTAAATTTTTTCAAAGGCTACACAAATAGTTTATTTCACTTTTTTATTGGGTGTGCACTAATAGAGATTTTTGGGGCCAATACTGATAGACTATTTTTAAGGAGGCACATCAGCCAATAATGATCCAATATCTGATATCAGCCCAGCAGCTTGGAGAGCTGCGTGCAGTTGGTAAGTACAACCAGAGGAGCCATAGCTCCATCCTGTGACCGCCCCGCTCGCCTTTGCCCTAGCCTCTGCTCCACTCCTCCCTTACCATGAGGGCCTTGATCTGCCCTCCCACACCCCTTTCCTCCCACCACACCAGACTTCCCCGCTGCATGCAGCTCTCCAAGCTGCCGGGCTGTGCTCCTCATTGCCTACATGCCGTGCTGAGGCTGCGCACATGAACAGGCATTTATCAGCCAAGCTATCGGCCACATCAGGCCGATTTCTGATATGATCAATTTTCTTTATATCAGTGCCAATCTGATAATTGGACTAATGTATCAGTGCACCTCTATTTTTTAGTCTCTCTCTCTCTCAGACCAGGTTTCAGAGAGAACAAACTATTTTTGCCTGGTAGTACCAAGATTCAGCCAAATCCCAAAGTAAATACTTTTCATTTCAAAAGTCATTATCACCTTAAAATGTACACAGGTTAAAACAATTAAAAATAAATTCAGGGGTTCCACCTTCTTCCAAGAACCCATTGCCTATTTTTTTATAGTTTAGTAATCATACAGTTCTACCTTTGCAAATGCTTATTTCTTCATCCCCTTGCTACTGGCAGAAAGACTTGTGTAAATAGAGAAGTTCTGAAATCCTGATCTTGCAAACTCTTACCCACTTTCAACCTGTGCAGAAAGTAGTCGCACTGAGTTCAGTGACATGACTTGTATGTAAAGTCAAGCACAGACAAGCGCTTGCAAGACTGGAATTTAGCTTACTCTCCAGGGCATACTGTGAAAGTTACTACGCTGAAGTCTATGCAAAAGCACAAATTAAAACATTAATGCAAAATAAACTCCTATGCATCAGCCCTACGCACTGCTTGTATAATTGTAAAAATCTCCAACATTAAAGTATAATCTTCAAGTTGAAGATCCCCCTTTTAAAAGTAATCTATAAAAAAGGTGGGTTTTTATTATACATAAAATGCTTTAAAATACCTGCACTGCTTTCTAGAAAGGATATTTTCTTACACTTCTCAGACTGACTATGGGACCTGAGAATCTCTCTATCCTGGAAGACTCTATAGTGACTGGAGGACTGCAGGAAATTATAATCAGAGGTATAAGCCAAGGCTAATTAAAAATTCCTCTCTTTACTTAACATAAACATATCTGTCTATGAGCTGAACAACTATCACAAACAGCTTTAAATTAGACAATATACAGCCCTACGCCGACTCACAGCAGCCTCCTGGTGACCCACAAAGCACTGCAGCACAGCTGAAAAAGAGCTTTTTGTTTATTTATATTTATATATAAAAAGCTTTTTATTTTATATATCAAGCTATTGGGTGGGGAAGCAAAGACTCGGGATGTGCATCCTATTGATCATGCTGACGCAATGGACTATTGGGGTGCTTACACACATGCAGGGAGGCTGCTCCGAGGGGCTGTAAATCAATTAATCAAGTTTTCTGGAGCGTGGAAATTAACGTGCTCCAGCAGCCTCCAGCATCACGCATCAGCGTCCCCGCGCTAAAATATGGCAACAGGGCACTTTGACCTAAAGCTTGTCAAACGAGCTTTAGTTCAAAACACCCCATCGCCATATTTTTAGCATGGGGACGCTGATACACATGACACTTGGGAGCTTTTAATTAGCACAGCTCACTAATTACAGCGCTCACCTCCCAGAGCTTGTCTATAAACACCCTTGAAGATTGGACAGTTCTGTTCTTCAGCTGATGCATGTACACAATTTTCTTTTCTTTTCTTTTTTGAAAAACAAAACACATCTACACCAAATGATGCAGATCTTCAAAGCTAACATACTCCTTTCACCGGCCTAAGCTTCAAAAGAAATAGTTCCTTTATATAAAAAATACAGCCAAACATCAGGATGATGAACTCTGCACAAAAGATATCAGATTCTTATTTACAATTTATGACAGATTAGACATTATGAAAACTTTTAAGCAATTACTATTATTAGACTGCACTTTATTGTTCATTACAGGGGGTGAAAATTACCTGCAACACACGCAGTAAGGAAAATTCTACTTATATAGAGCTATTTTTGCTAACTAACTATTTCAACGGCAAGTAGCAAGGGGTGAATCATCACTTACAAAAGACTTTATAGCATTCACTCAAACTTGCCCATGTATTGCTAATGTGAGCCCACCAGTGTATTTAGGAAGAAAAAAGTATAAAAATAAATTTGACAGTTGCTTCAGTTCAGGATGGAAACCCTGAAAATACAATTGAAGAAACTTTCAAAATAATTCAGCATTAAACAATTTTGTTCCTTCTCACTGGGGTTATCATCAATTTAGTGGAAGCAACACCGAAAACTTTAGAATTCCACCTTGTCAATATAATTTTTTCTATTATTCAAAGTTCTGAATTTTATTCACATTTCTTCCTTTTCTCCATGGTAAGAGATGCTTCAAAAAGCACAAGTTGCATCACTCATCTTGAAAAGAATTATTACTTCTACCATATGCTGCTGCTGATACCTTTCCATTATTAATGCATCATCTCTGCATGTGTCACAATGAGTGCTATAACTAAAAATAAATCTGAATAAATTATCACATCATAAAACAGAACAAAGTTACACTGCCACGGATGCTTTACATATCCAAATGCAATTAGAACACGCCAGTGTTTTTAAAGAAGAATGCCATCTTTCAACAAAATGTTGAGATGCTTGCTTTAAGATATTTATAACTTGCAAGAGGGATCCTTGCTTTCAGTTAATTAAGGAATATAAAAGCAATGGTGTGAATCTCCTTTAAAATGCACTAAAGCTCTTTTCATTGTGAATTTCATACTCATGTTAACCAGTTTATTTCAGTTCATACTTTGCAACCATCACATAATATGCAAAATAATATGCAAAAATACACATTGAAGAAACAAAATCATAATACATTTCAGCTGTGTACTGAGAGAGTTCAATCACCACAGATTGCTTAAAAACAATACACTTTAAAAATTTACAAAGGGACTTACTAAAATGTCAGTGTCCAGCCAGTGAGCTCATAACTTAGAGCTGAACAAGTTAACATAGTAAGCAGAACTGTACATCTTAATTGCACTGTGAAACTCTTACTAGATAGTCCATTTGTCTGACAAGACATCTAAATATGGTTTGAATTAGCAACCTTTGCAATAAAAGTGCTCCCTGGAATGTCATGCGACTAGTATAAATGTGAACAAAATGAAATAAATGAAAGCATTTAATTTCAAAATGGAAAGCCATCAAAAAGAAAATGTCAAATGGCCTGTGTGTACAAACTACTTTTTTTTTTTTTTTTTTTTTTTTTTTTAATGGATTTTATTCCAGGGTAAAAACAAGTAGCTCTCTATCTGCCTGAAAGGCATCACTTTTCCAGTGTTTTCCCTAGCTCCTTAATCTCTCCCCACAAAACTAACATTCAAGTTATCTGATAAAAGCTATAGGCTAAATACAGACAGTCAAAAAGCCCAAGGCTGAATCAATTCAATCTTCACAGGTTAGTCCAAGGTGCATACATTGAACCAATAAGCAAGTGAACAGTCATTCACTTTTGATTCTGGAAATGCAGCCATATGCCTGCAGACACCCAGGCCAGAAGCCAGGGAGTGCTAGAGCACGCCTCCCTGCTCAGCTGGAGCAGACAACTTGGGCCAAGGCCAACCCTGCAAAGCATGAGTTTGTGGGTGGAGGTGAAAAGCATCCTGGGGTGCTGGGAGACTGTGAGTTAACTTGAATCTGGAGGGCATCCAGGACAGAAGTTCAATAAACAGATTTAACCTAAATCAGTTAAGTCTGATATACCCAATCCCTTGTACTGGTTTACATATAATTTCTGTCCCTAGCCATTATGTTCTAAATTAATTGTCTGTGCGAAGTTAACAAACAAACTAGTGGACTAACAAACTTAAGGTCAGACCAGAAAAAAAATATAACTAAAAGGCTAGATAAATAGTGCTGGAGAGCAACTTATCTAATACTTGTCATAGAACTGGCACCTATTACGAATCTTAGTTTCATAGTTGGTAGGGTCGGAAGGGACCTGAGATCATCTAGTCCGACCCCCTGCCATGGCAGGAAAGAGTACTGGGGTTAAATGACCCCGGCCAGACGTTCGTCCAGCCTCCTTTTAAAGATCCCCAGGGTAGGAGCCAGCACCGCTTCCTTTGGAAGCTGGTTCCAGGTCCTAGTCACTCTGACAGTGAAATAGCACTTCCTAATGTCTAGCCTGAAACTACCCTCTGCTAGCTTGTACCCGTTGTTTCTTGTAACTCCCGGGAATGCTCAGGGGAACAGGGACTCTCCCAATGCCTGCTCGTCCCCTTTGACTAGTTTGTAGATTGCCACTAGATCCCCTCTCAGCCTTCTCTTCTGGAGGCTGAACAGGTTCAGGTCCCTCAGCCTCTCCTCGTAGGGCCTGCCCTGCTGCCCCCGATCATGCGGGTGGCCCTCCTTTGGACCCTCTCCATATTGGCCACATCCCTCCTGAAGTGTGGCGCCCAGAACTGGATGCAGTACTCC